AATCCTGAGACCACAGTAAGAGCCATTAAGGGGATAAAGGGGTAGCAAATAAATAATACAAGAAAATGTCAAAGAACTGAAGGACATGAGTCTTTGAATCGAAAGGACTAACCAAGAGCCCAGCAAATGAAAGGAAGGGGGGATAAAAACCTGAATCGAAGTATATCACCATGAACAGGGGATAAAAAGAAAATCTTAAAACCTGTCAAGGGGAAAAGATCACAAAGCATCAGAAAACAAAATAGCATCAGACTTTCAACAGCAACGCTTGAAGCTAAAAGGTAATGAATGGAAAAAGTCTTCAAAATTCTAAGAAAAACGTATTTTTGAATTAGAATTCTACAATCAAACTATACATCAAGTATGACATTATAATAAAGACATATTTAGACAGGCCTGGTCTTTAAAGATGAACCTTTCATGGATCCCTTCTTAGAAGACTACTGGAGGTTATACATAATCAAAACAAAGAGGAAATTCCAATAGGAAAAACAAAGCACTTAAGACACTCTTGAAGTAGTTTGAGCTCCCAAGACTTCTAGGGAGGAAAATTATTGAGAGATAATAAAAAAAAGACCTAGAGATAAAACATACGCATAGACAAGGAGACTCAGTATCATAGAGATGTTAATTTTTCCCAAAGTTGATTTACAAATTCAGTAAGACCCCTGCAAAAAAACACAACAGATTTTTTGTGGAACTCAATTAACTAATTCTAAAATGTATGTGAAAGCACTAAAGGCCAAGAACATACTAGACACTGCTGGAGAAGAACAAGAGCAAGTCTTACTCTAGCAGAGATTTGCTTTAACACTCTCCTAATTAAGACAGTGGAATACTGATAAAGGAATAGACAAAGAGATCAATGAAGAGACTAGAGATCCCAGAAACTGACACATGTTGCAGACAGAGCACTGCAGACCAGTGGGAAAATAGTTTATCCTGGCGAGGAGCCTTGGCACAACTGGGTATCCATACGGAGAAAAAAAATGAAACTGGATCCCCACCTTATACCATTTGCAAAAATCTATTCTAAGTGAGTTGTAGACCTAAATGTTAAAGACAAAATCATAAAGCTCTGAGAAGATAATATAGGAGATTATCTTCATGATCTCAAGTTACGAAAGCTTTTCTTCTTTTTTTTTTTTCATTTGAAGATCTAACTGGCTTTATTAGGTGATACATGAATCAAGTGGCCTCCCTTCCAACAACCAGAAGGGCACTCCAGGAAAGAATTTCTCAAAAATAACACAGAAAGCATTAACTAAAAAAGAAAAAAGAAAAAATTGGAGTACATTAAAATTAAGAACTCCCTGTTCATAAAAAGACACTATAAAGAAAATGAAGACAGGCACAGAATGAGAATATATTTGCAATAACCATAACCAGGAAATGGTTAAATTCTAGAACACATTACAAATAAACAAGAAAAAAAAATCTAAGAGGAACATGAATGAGAGACTTGAACACAAAAGAAGAAATCCAAATTACCAATAAACCTATGAAAAGACTTACTAGTAGCCAGAGATAGACGAATTAAGACCACAATGAAAAATACAACATGAGATTGTCAAAACTTAAAAATTCTGACAATATCAAATGTTGGTGAGGATATAAAGCTAGGAAATTCTCATATGCTGCTGGTGGGAGTGTAAACTGCTACATTTTGGCATCACCCAGGAAAATTAAAGACACACCTATAACCCAGCAATTCTACTCCTGAGTTAAGTATTAGTGAAACTCATGCATATATGCACCAGTACTGTGTATAAAAGCCAAAAACTGGAAACAACTGATATATCCATTAACAGCACAATGGCAAATAACTAGTGATACAATCATATACTAGAATTCTATGCAGCAATGAAAATTAACCAACTACAGCTCTGGTGATAACAAAGACAAACCTCACAAATATAAAGCTTATTTCAAAAGAGGGAAGACACAAAATACACTCAATACACACAAAACTAAAGTTACAATGTCTAGGTATACACACTTAGATGGTAAACTATAAAGAAAGCAAAGACATGAATAACTTACAGATAGGATAGCGTTTTCCTTTAGGGAGAGAGACGGATCAATTCAAAATGGAGGTGGGAAGGATTCTGGGGTACTGGCAGAATTCCTTAACTATGATGGTTGTTAATATGAATTCACTTCATTACTGTTTGTTAAATGTACATACATGTTTTTTGTGCTTTTCAATACAAAGATCACATATTTCACTATTTAAAAAAAAAAAAAAAGGATGCACAGCCATCAGGGCCATAAAGAATCACTTTCATGTACACAGTCAGGAGATCAGCTTCAAATCAATAGATCATTTTATGTCATTCCTTTTTTTTTTCTCGGCTAAAAGCAACAGAAATCCAAACATAAGAAGTTCATTTATATGTCAAATTATATATTTTAAATTGGGAAGGTTTTTCAGGTAAGAAAGTAATTGTTACAGAGTTGTGCAGGGCAGGACTGGTTGGAAATGCAACAATATGATGAAAAATTGATTCAAATAAACTAAATACACAAGATGATTGCCTACTTAGAATTTAACCTTTGCAATAGATACTAATTTCCACAAGCAAATGATAGTTGCAATCAACTTTAGAAATAGTTTTCTATTGCATGCTACTACTTACAATTGTAAGGTTTGATAGTTTTTTCTCTCCTACACAGAAGGAAGTTTATACATTTAAAATGTCTAGAGACTCATGGACAATAAAAACTTTTAGGGAAAAGAGGCAAAACAGATCAGATAAATTAAAATTTTAAATTTTCTTTTAAAAATAATCCCAGAGCTTATTCCTTGGAAGCATAAAAGATGAAAAGATGCAAAGAACTCATGCTCTTCAAATATCACACTAAAACAGTCAAGTTCACAAAAATTATCCTTGACACAACACAGTGTTCAACTACATGGAATAAGTCTCTTATTTTTCAGAAATTTTTCAATTGGTGTCTCCCTATGGGAAGGTATGTTCACTTTGCAGAAAGAGTCACTAAGAATTAAATCACAGAACATTAGCATATCCATACAATCTGCCTGTGCCAGAAAATGGTTCACTATCTTCATAAGTCCCTTTTCCTGCCCCATCCCTATTTTGTTTCTGAGCTCTAAATGTAATAATAGAAAAGTTTTGCCATTTACTGAACCCTTTTTGTGTGTCTTATATTCATTATCTCCTTTAATTCACACACAGTGAGGAGTAGGTCTTACTGATGAGAAAAATGAGACGTGGAACGATTAAGTAACTTGTCCAAGGTCACAGGCTGCTACTAAGGGAGCCAAGATACAGCTCAAACCCAGTGCCAGTGTCTTAATACTGCACTGTTTCTATTTGATAAAACATTTGTACCATGAAAACTGCCCATAATCACCTATTGCCTTCTAACTACCAGATTCCAGATGCCTTGAGGATTTATTTTTGCCTTCCCTAGATAACTGTATACTCAAAGAACATTAATGGGTGAAGGGATATCTTATTATTTTCCAGCTAGGAAAAAGGAGATCCAGAGAATTTGTGTTCTGTCCAAGACCTCGAAGCTATTGTGTGACAGCCAGCAATAAAATACAATCCTTAACTCCTAGGAGTAACCTTCTCACTGTAGTAAAAGCCCTTTCTATCATACATCTATACTGTAAGCTCTTGTTGAAATCCATACTCCACCCTCCACAAAAGCACTGAAGTTTACTTTGTCAACTTTCGCAGCAAACAACAGCTTCAATAGCACTCACATGCAGGTAACATACATTCTTTCATTTCAACAAACATAAAGAGAAATGCACTATGTGCTAAGGCAATACAATTAACTCCAATGTATATCATAATTTTGGCGCCTGGTCTTATCATAAAAACATAAACACATTAACCATAACATGTGACAAGTGCCAAGTGTTTTGAAAGCACACAGAAAAGAGCAGATATTCCAGAGCAAAGAATGAGAAGGACTAGGCGCTCTGAGATGCATTCAAGGCAGAGAAAAAAGCAGAAGTGTGATGGTATTTAGAAAGGAGGGAAAAAATGTCATCACTCCTACCAAGAGAAGTTCCAAAAAAAAAAAAACAGTAAACACACGGCAAGAAGACCTGAGTCCAAATCTAGGCTGTGACTGGTGTGAGTGCAAACAATTTGAGTCTTAGTGTCCTCACCTGTGAAATGTAGATACTATCGACCTGCACATCCCACAGGACTTTCGTGGGGGCCAAATTGTGTGAAAGTACTTTAAAACTGCACAGTCCTGTATAAACATGTTATTTATCTTTTCACTTCTAGGCAACCCTGTGGGTCCTCTCCCCTAAACTGTTGTCTCATAAAAACTTCACCCTTCAGGAAGAAAATATTCCAATGACATCATTCATATACTCCTTATGAGACAGTAAACAGTTAACATTAATGGCTTCAGGTTGAAACATTAAACCTCTTTCTACCGAAATGAGTATCACTATATAAAAATATTTGTATATATATCTGCGTGTTTTTTAATTTTTCAAGCTCTGGTATTGACTTCCAGTCCAGTGCTTACTATAATTATATTTAGAAACTAGTACCGGATGCAGGTTTTCTTCTGGAAATTTTCTATCAGAAATTCCATTCCATTTTACAGTATGTTGTCAAGCAACCAACTCAAGAACAGTCTGCAAATAGCAATCACTTTTCTCTCATCCCAAGAGTCTGGTTATGTACTAGCTATAGATACAAACCAGACCCCTCCTTTAAATTAAAGAACACCCTCATTTCCTTTAACGTTTGACAAAGTAGACTGTATACCTTACCTCCCTTTGGCAATCACTCTTTATAAACTACCTCCAGGTCCTATTTTGCTCAACCTTAAACACTACGTCTTGGCTACTCCTTGGACGATAACCTAAATAAGGTTCCAACGTACGTTTAAGAAGTCAAAAGAAGGGCAAGAGGCAGGAACGGGACGAGGGAGTGAGAAATCCTCGGGCCACGGGCTGTTTGATCTCACAAGTGCAACTTCCCGTTTCCCCCTCTTACCTTGTACACTTTCCCAAAGGCTCCGTCGCCCAATTCTCCTATAATTTCCCAAAACTCCTCGGGGTTCAGGTCCCTCTTCACATGTTCGTACTGCTTCTTCTTCTTCTCGCTCCCCAACTTGAAGATCTTACGGAAATTGAAGAAGGAGGACATTTTCCCTCCCAACAGAGTTCTTTGCACTTAAGGACTAAAAACAGTAAGAGGCAAAGTTTCTCCTCCCTCCTCTCCCGCGCGAGCCTGGCGGGCGGCGGCGGGCGCTGGCTGTCCGGGCTCCCGCCGCTCCAGCCGGGCCGTTCCCGGGGAAGGCGGGGCGCTACTCCCGCTCTGGCCCACGGGGTGGGGGCGCTGCGCGGGCAGCCCCTCGCCGAGCCCGGCCCGTGGGCCGCGCGGCTAAGCGCCTGGCCCCAGGCCGGCCCTCGGCGGGCGGCACCTGCCCGGACGCTCGTCCGCACCTGGCCCGGCCCGACGGGTCCGAGCGGTCTGGACGCCCGCGACCACCGCGGTTAGGCCCGTGTCACGGCGAGTCTCCAGGGGCGGCGGCCACTCCGGGCGAGGGACGCAGCCAGCGGCCTCTGAGGCGGCCAGTGGGCAGGCCGAGCACTCCCACCTCCGGCCGCGAGCTCGGGGTCCCCTCCGTAGCCGTCAGCTCCCGAGGCGCGAGGCCCGCGCGTCTCCTGGGCTCTGGGGCGCCGCCGCCGCAGCCTCGCTCCCTCCCCAGCCCACGCAGCCTCGGTCTGGAGCGCGCCGACGCCGACGCCGCAGCGCGCCCGCGCGCTCCCGGGGCCGCGCGCTCGCGCGGGGGCGTCACCTCTGGCCCCGCGCACGCGCGTTGAGCCCTGCAAGCCGGCTGCTCTGAGAGCCTCGCAGGCGCCGGGTTCGGGCTGAGACGTGGGCGCCGGCGCCGGTCGCTCGGTGACGGTTGCTCCCAGCTTGCCCTACAAGCCCCAAGTCCTTGCTAGCCCCCGGCTTTGGTGGAGTTGCCCCCTTGCGCACGATCCTGTTGGTTGTGCTAGCGGACGTTGCCTCCATCCTGGATTTGGGGAAATGTGCTAAGAATGAAAGCTGAGCTATCCTGATTGGGGCCTGCAGGTGGAATTTTTTGCCCTAAAATGGGTCCCAGGGTACCGTGAATGGGGAGTATGTGAGGTGGCTGGGAGCTTTGGAGCCAGAGCTTACCAGCTCCGTGACCTTGGGCAGGTAACTTCTCCCAGCCTCAGTTTCTTCACTGAGAAATGAAGATCCTTAAAGTCCTGTCCAGGAGGCTGTGGCGAGCAGTAAATGAGGCAATGGATGGAAGCCCTCTGCATGGTGCCTTAACCCGGCAAACGCTCAATTTTAGTTCCTGCTGTTGTTGCAAGTATGCGGGTAAGATAGACATAAATATATAGAAATCGTTTAAGCTCGCTTCTCGAGTGATGACCCCGGCACTCCCTTGAGAGTAATCTACCTTCTTCTGGCCACTTCCATAGCCATACACCTTGTGCCACACTTCGTGACTCCATCTGAACCACTAAGGCCTTCACTTCCTGACCTGCCTTTGGACCCCTTGGACGGCACACGTGTAAGGCTACCTTATGGGGCGATGTGGGCGTTGGCTGGAATCTGTCAGATGGTGCCCTGCTTTCCCCTCCACCAGAAGGGAGCTCTTTCAGGGCAGTGGCTGATTACTCATCATGATATCCAAGTACCTACTGACATTCCTGGCGTATGATTGGAAGACAGATCCCTTGATTGAATGAATGAATGAATGAATGTCATCTGGAGCAGAGGCCTTGTTGCTGTCTATACACCCTCCCAAACCATTTTGCCCTCCAGCCCCAAAATGGCATAGCAAAACCCCTGCTCTAGTTAGAGGGTTATGATGATTTTGTTTCTCAAGATCCTCTATTTTTTCATAGTTTTATTGAGGTATAATTGATACATAATAAGTTGCACATATTCCAAATATATACTTTTATATGTTTTGACAAATGCTTACACCTGTGAAAACAGTAACATAATCTATTTTTAATTAGGATCATTATGTAGGTGGCACTAGATGTAAAGGTAATACACACTCGTTGTGGAAAATGAGGAAGTGCACAAAGAATCAAATAAAAAGCCCTATAATTCTACCCTCTAGAGATAACTATTGGCAAGATTTTACTATATTTCCAAACAGGGTGTTTTGGCTGTGCGTTAACTTTTTTTACTTGGAAAATTATACTGCATGTGAAGATTTGCATCCCGCACTTTTCTCATTTCAGTATGATTAATAATTGTTTTCTTCCAACATAAGATATTTAGATTACTTACAACTTTTCTCTGTTTCAGATAAAACATTGATAAATATCTTTGTTCACAGATCCTTTTCCACATATTTGATTATTTCCTTAGGATAAATTACCAGAAGTAGATTTGGATCAAAGGGTATAAGTCTGTTTCCTTTTTTTGTTCTTTTCAAAATGGAAAACGCTTTACTGCTTTCTCAACTAAAAGATAATATATCTTTGTTGTAAATTAATTCAAATGATAGAGAAATGATAAACTAAGAAGCTGTCTATAATTCTCCCCTTCTGCCTTCACTCTACCCAACTTCACCCCCAGCCTAACCACTGTTAAAAAGTTAAGCCTTATGAGTAAGAAAGAACTTTTGGGGGGTAACAAAAAAGTTCTGAAACTGGATTGTGGTAATGATGGCAAAACTGTATACATTTACCAAAAATCATTAGATTGTAGACTTAGAATAGGTGAATATTATGGTATATAAATTACTACAATAAAGCTGCTTTTAAAAAGTATAAGCAAATTTTTTCTACACATATACTTTTTAAATAGAAAAATAGTATCTGATATGGATCATGGACATGTTTCCATGCCAGCACAAATAGACCTATCCTTTTTAATAAGTGTGTAGAGTCCAGTGTACAGCTCTACCTCTGATTATTGGTAATGTAACACCTTTTCAGATATATACTGGCAACTTTTGTTTCTTATTTTATAAGTTGCCTCATCATATCAATGAATAATATCAAATGACGTTGTCAATATTGTATAAATGAGGTGATCAAGTCAAACATACTTTGGTGAAATGATCATAGAGTTAATAAGCTTACATGGTTTTTCCGTGAAGTTAGAACCACAGAAATTATTTAATAATACTGGGCGAAATGATAGTCAGACAGATTCAAATTTTCCCAGTAATGACCATGAAATCTAGGTGTTTGTGTTATTTGTAAATAACAGTATGGCTTCCTTGAATTTTTAATCCTTTGAAAGTGAGGTTTAACCAGTGGCCACATAAAATATTCATCTAATACACAGTGTTTTGTCTTTACTTATTAACAGCTTGGTGAAGGTAGAGCTATCTTCACAATTTATCAGGTTACTAACCTTCACTGATAATAATAAGGATATTATTAAAAACTAAAAACTGAATATTTATTGAGTGCTTCCTACATGCCAGGCACTGCACTGAGTGGTTTACACGCATCATCTCATTTAAACCTCGTATCAACCCTGTGAGGTAGGTACTGTGATAGCCCCCATGGAAAAGTGAGGAAAACTGAGACAGCATTAATTATAAATAGCATAGTCTTGGCCTCAGAGACAGTAATGGAAGATTTGAACTTGAATCTAGATCGTAGTAAACCAATCCCACTAAGACCATTGCCTTAGCCTTACTGAGCTTCTGTAATAGCTATCTCACAGGATTGTTGCACTGCTATTTCTTTTTCCTTCACTTGGTAACTTGAAAACATACTCCACTCATGGTCTCCACTTTGTAAGCTCCCAAACGTGGATGTAAGCTCCCGCACGTGTGTGTGTGTGTGTGTGTGTGTGTGTGTGTGTGTATGTAGGTATATATGTGTAAACATATATGTGTGTGAGTGTATGGAAGTATAGGCGTATTTGTGTATGAGCATGTGTGTATGTGTGTGAATGCACGCGTATGGGGGTATGTGTGGGTGTGTTTGTGTGTGTGAGCATGTGTATACCTGAGTATGTGTCTGAGGGTATGTGTATGTTCCTCTAGACTGAGAGCACTTTGCAGACAGGGACTGAGTCTCACTCATCATAACATTCTCTGCATCCAGCCCAGTGTCTTCCTATTCCATAAATTTTCACTGGGTAATGAATGAAAATAAAAGAACTTTATACCTAGTGAAAGCAAATTACATGTCAATTCCTTTTCCCTTCCTTATTTCTAATTTAGGCAGTAAATTTGCTAGTAAATTCTTTAAGTGCTAACATAGAAGTAGCAAATTCCTTTGGTGTACAAGTACTCTATGATGTAAATACATATTTTTTAATCCTTGTGAAGTTATATTTTTAGAAAGGAATTTTTTCAGGTATTTTAAGGAAATAACCTGCAATTATGACAATTATTCTCCTGAAATAGGAATTGTGTGTAATTCAGGAAACTCCAAACCAGATTTTTGGTTATTTTTTCCTATTTTAGAAGTAAACAAATTACCTGATTTAAGCTACTTTTGATTCAAAAAGGGAATCCAAAAATATCCTCCCTTCTACTTCATCTCCCTTTCTGTGTCATACAGAACTGTTAGACTACACTCCCACCCTCTCCTCATCCCTAGCTGCTTCTGCTGAAATGAATCATAAGCATTTCACGGTGTAATGACAAGTCTCAACATATTCAGATCTTAGGAAATTACAAAAATAAAACTGTACAGGCATACTTCTTTTACAAGTGGTATTCAAATCCCAGTTTCAAAATCTAGACACAGAGAGGGAGAGTATAGCTCAGAGTGCATGCCTAGCATGCATGAAGTCCTGGTTTTAATTCACAGTACCTCTATTAAATAAATAAATAAACCTAATTATTTCCCCCACCCATAAGAAAAAACATTAAAAAAAAATCTAGACTTCATAACATCTTTTGAACTTTAAGGGTTTGAGTGGTCAGTATCAAATTAATTCCATTCAGACATTAACTAGCCACAGCATTCAGGCAAGCAACCCTCTGGGGTTGATGGAAGACTTTGTACTATTCTATTGCTTCATACTTTTATGTGCTACGTTTCTTCTATCTTTGTTTCATAAAACATATGTTGGATGAGATAGTTTTGAGTACCTAGCTCAAAATTATTTGTCCTGTGATTAACCAGGTCTGCGGGAAAGTCAATACTCTACACCCCGAGGATTACACAGGAGTTTCACTTTTAACAGAGGTGGCTTCAAGAAGATGAAACAATTCAGAATGACTCAGACAACAGGAATAACTCTAAGTTACAATTTTTGTAGTAGTTTGCCTCTTCAGGATGATCATGTGATCTCCAAGGGCCCTTGCAACTATAAAATTGTTTTCATTGTGGCCCTAATTTTAGCTGCCTTATATGCTAATAATTGTGTCCATTTTTCTGACACAATTGTGACTGAAGGGTAAATAAATGCAGTTAGCAATTACAAAAAGAAGAGCACGTCTGCCAAAATGCACTGAGAATCCTGCTTCCACTGAAAACTATTCTTGGGATAGTTTTACCTGCTGCGATGGGAAAGCCTGTCTCATGAGCCAGGAGGAGGGAGGGATGTTTTTAGAGTAATGTCAATGGCTAGCTTGCAAGAGAAATTTTCAGGTTTTCCTTGTGAAGGAAAAACTTCCCAAGCCCTTGTTACCGTCTTACAGTTCTTCCTCTTCCTCTTCCTCTTTGAATCTTTTAGAACTTAGTACCTCACCCAGATTTTTAATGAAAAGTTTGTGACTGCAAATTCCTGTTTCACAAAACTGTCACAGCAATTACAAACCACAATTTG